TGTCTTGTTCCTGACCTTAAGGAAAATGCTTTCAGTTTTTCCCCTTTGAATATGATGTTGGATGTGGGTTGGTCATTTATGGCTTTTATTAAGAGAGGTATGTTCCCTCTATTCTCACTTTGCTGAGAGTTTTTATTATAACTTGGTCCTGGATTTTATTAAATGCTTTTTCTGCATCTATTGATATGATTATGTGGTTTTTATCCTTCATTTTCTTTGTGGTGTATCATGTTAATTGATTTGTGATTGTTGAACCATTCTTATAGCCCATGAATAAATTCCACTTGATTATGGTGTATGATCTTTTTAATGTATTGCTGATTTTGGTTTGTTAATATTCTGTAGAGGATTTTAGCATCTATTTTCATCAGGGATATTGGCTTATAATTTTCTTTCTTTGTAGCGTTTTTATCTGGTTTTGAATTAAGATAATGCTTGTCTTGTAAAATGAGTGTGTGAGCCTCCCCTCCTTTTGAATTTTTTGGAATAGTTTGAGAAGGAAAGGTGTTAGTTCTTCTTTGAATGTTTGGTAAAATTCACCTGTGAAGCCATTTGGCCCCAGACTTTTGTTTGTTGGGAGCTTTTTTTAAATTACTGCTGCAATTTCACTGGATATAATCTATCTTTCAGATATTCTGATTCCTCTTGATTCAGTCTTGGGGGCTCGTCTGTTTATGGAAACTTATTCACTTCTTTCAGATTTTCCAATGTGTTGGTATATAATTGTTTGCAGTATTTTCTTAGAATACGTTGTATTCCTGTGGTGTCAGTTGTTAAGTTTCCTCTTTCCTTTCTGATTTTATTTATTTGAGTCCTGTATCTTTTTTTCTTGATGAGTCTGGTTAAAAACATCAATATTGTTTATCTTTTCAGAGAAGCACCTTTTGGTTTTGTTGATCTTTTGTAATTGTTTTATTTTTAGATTCTATTTTATTTGTTTCTGCTCTGATCTTAATTATTTTTTCCCTTCTACTCACTTTGGGCTTTGTTGTTCCTTTCTAGTTCCTTTAAGTGAAGGTTAAATTCTTAATTTGAGATTTTTCTTGTTTCTTGAGGTAGGCCTGTATTGCTATGAATTTCCCTTAGAAATGCTTTAATTGTATCCCATAGATTTTGAGCTGTTGTGTTCTCATTTTCATTTGTCTCAAGGTATCTTTTGATTTGTACCTTGAGCTCATTGTTAACCCATTCATTACTTAGTTAACATGTTATTTAGCCCCCGTATGTTTGTGTGGTTTTCAGTTTTTTGTAATTGTTTTATAGTTTCATACATTGTGGTCAGAGAAGATGCTTGAAATGATTTCAGTCTTCTTACAATTATCAAGATTTGTTTTTTGGACTAACATGTGGTCTATCCTGGAAAATGTTGTATGTGCACTTTAGGGTATATGCTGCAGTTTTAGGGTATAATGCTCTGAAAACATCAATTAAATCCATCTGGTCTAATGGGTCACGTTAGACTGCTGTTTTCTTGTTGACTTTTTGTCTGGAAGACCTATCCATTGATATCAATGGGGTATTAAAGTTTCCTGCTATGATCGTATTACTGTTGATCTCTCCCTTTATTTGCATCAATATTTGCTTGATATATTTAGGTGCTCCTATGTTGGGTACATAAATGTTTACAAGGGCTATTTTGTTTTCCTGACTATGCATGAGGTTTTCTATTTCATATCCTCTGGTTCCATTTTAGATTGAAATTCCATCACACTGCCTTTGCCCCCCGAGGGGTGGGGACAGTACCCACCCCCAGGAGAACCTGATTGTATGGGTACGGTTTGGGGAGGAAACAGGATTCAGAAACGGGAAAGGGGGAGCCGCCTTTGGCCCATGAAAATCAAGAAACCCAGTGCCAAGGGCAGGAGAGGGTGTGCTGGGTGTGCTGGGTGTGGCAGGGGGCGGTGGGAAGGCTGAAGCTCTGGGGGAGGCACCAAGCGGGCGGGGTGCCCCCGTGTCTCCCGTGTGTGGGAAGCTGCAGGGACTGGAAACCTCCCTGGTGGCCCTGCTTTGAGCAGACTGAGGGGGCCGTGGGCGCGCTGCTCCTCTGGGGGACACGTGAACTGCAAGTCAGGGACCTTAGGGGGAAGTCTAAGAATAGTGACAGACACTACATTCTAGGCCCCAGGGGAAGGTCCACGCTGCCAGAAGAGAACAATTGGTAAATTGGACTTCATTAAAATTATGACCATCTGCTCTGTAAAAGGCACTGTTAAGAGAATGAAAAGACAAGCCACAGACTGGGAGAAATATTTGCAAAACAGTTATCTCATAAAGAACTGGCAACCAAACTATATGAAGCAAACTTAAAGTTTAACAGTAAGAAAATAAACAACCCAATTTAAAAATGGGCAAAAGATGTGACCAGACACCTCACCAATGAAGATATATACAAAGAAGAATAGACACATGAAAAATGCTCAACATCATAGTCGTTCGGGAATTGCATATTAAAACAATGAGCTATCACTACACACCCAATAGAATGGATAAAACCCCAAACACTGACAACACAATGCCAAATACTGACGATGTGGATCCAGAGGAACTCTCATCCACTTGGTGAGAATGAGGAAGGGCGCAGCAACTTTGGACAGCAGTCTGGTATAAAAAAAATAAGTAAGCCGACTTACATAATACAATTGAGTAATTGTGCTTTTTGGTAATTACTAAAATGGGTTGGAAATACATGTCCACACAAAAAACAGCACATGAATGTTTATAGCAATTTTATTAATAATTGCCAAGAATTGGCATTAACCAGGACGTCCTTTGGGAGTTGAATGAATAAACAAACTGGGCTACATCAGTGCAATGGAATAGTACTCAGCAACAGAAATAAATCAGCTAGGAAACCATGAAAAGCCATGGAGGAGCCCCACATGCACAGTGCTGCATGGAAGAAGTCACCCCAAAAAGGCTACAGACTGGATGGTTCCAATTATATTTCTGGAAAATGTAGAACAATGGAGGCAGTAAAAAGATAATTAGTCTCCAGTCTAATTAAGAAAATAATGGTTCCCCCCCCAGGAGTTAGACAATGAAGTGGGCATGTGTATATGTATGTATGTTTAAAAAGTAAACCATAGACTTTATTGGAACTTCACCAGTTTCTCCGTTAATATTCTCTTTTTGTTTCAGAGCCAATCCAGGGTACCACATTGCATTTGGTTCTCAGGTTTCCTCACTCTCCTTTGGTCTTTCCTTGTTTTTCACGATGCTGACTGTCTAGAGGAGCACTGATCAGATTATCCTGTAGAATGTCCCACCGTCTGGGTTATGTGACATTTTCTTCATCATTATGGGTTATGGGATTTTGGAGGGAAATCTGAGGTGAAGTGCTCTTCTCATGAAATTTTGCTTTTATCCTGTGTGAGATTTGCTGAGTTTATTGAACCTATGAGTTGACGTGCTTCTTCAATTTTGGCCAATTGAACGTGGAGTGCAAATACTCTGCCAGGCTCAGGCCCAGGCCCAGGCCCAGGCCCAGGCCCTCGGAGGCATCGCATGCCTCCGCTTGCCTGTCCTGTGCTAACATGCAGGCCCAAGGTGCCCCGGAGGCCCACCAAGCTGCTCGGAGCCAGGCCACTCTTAGCCCACCTTGATCAAGGGATCCCTAGATGCGCCATAGATGCATGAGCAAGAACAGATCATCACAGTGTGCACGACAGAGCGTTAGTGTGTGTTACTGTTTGCAACAGCTGGCTGATGCAGAGCTACAGCAGCCGCAGCTTCTCCCTCCTCCCTCCCGCACAGCTGTGCTCCAGCCGGTGCTTTTGTGCTTCTCCCAGGGCACTGGCGGCCGGCCCCATCCCGTTACCTCCCCTTCTCTCCCTCTCTGTGATCCAAGTCTAAAAACTGCCCCAGAGCCAGAGGGCCAGCTTTCAGCTCCTTCCCCTCTCTCTGGTACTGTTACAGAGAATTGAAGCACAAATATATTTTGTACAGAGAGAAATATTACAAAAAGATTAAAAAAAACCAGTCCCCCAAGAATCTTATCTTTGCTCTATGTGAAATGATTTATGTGAACTGCCCAACCAGCAGTTAATTACCATGCAGCAAAATAAGTCTAGGTCATTAAATACAAGATTAATTAAGTTTTATTTACCAATAATATTACATTCCATTCATTACTCTTAGATGCCAAATAAAAAACACTGAAGGGATATGGCCGACCACTCTCCGGAGCCCGGCCAGGGCAGGGTAGACATGGCAACACCGGATGGGAGCTGGTTCTGTTCACTTCCCCTGAGTTGTGGGTACTCGGGGCTGGGGTTTCATGGCTCCGACAGGTCCAGGACCTTTGGAGCAGGGTGAAGCAGGAGGAGAGGGGCAAGGGCTCCGTGCGGGATACAACTGTCAGCTCCCACGACCCCCTCTGCCTACCTCTACCAGTGCGAAGCCTGGCCCCAAGCCCTGCCCTCCGCCCTACCGCCCCAGCCCGACTCCTTAAACTCCTCCCACCTGGCAGTTTTCCACTGTTTGCTCTCATGTTCTAGCGCCCATTGCCCCCAGTCAGGTCGAAGCTCTGTGATGCCAGCCACGCCACCCTCTACTCCCCTGGGATCTTGCCCACGCACCGGAAGGGTGCCAGGAACCTTGGGGCTGCAAGATTCTGCACACAATGTGCACCAGCCAAAGGAGGGAGATGCAAGTGCAGGGGATGGGGGCCAACCTGCACGAGAAGGAGGTGAAGGCCGGGGCACCTGAGTGCCCCTCCCGTCACCCTGACACGTGCAGTTGCTCCCGCAGAGGGTAAGGCTAATCGCACCTCGCCCCTCAGTCTTGGTGAACTGGAAAGTAGCAGATGAAGAGCTTCCCAGGGGCCGTGAGAGCCCCCCAGGACCAGAAGGGGAGCCAGCGTTTGGCGACCAAGGCCGCTGACCTTTCCTGAGCACTGGCGATGCGCTAGCCACGGGGCCAGGCGCTCTGCCATTCCTTTGCAGCCCTTTAAAGGGGCCTTAGTTCCCCTCATCTTAGGGCTGAGGGAAGGGAGGCTTGAAGACGCTAATTAACTTCCTTCTGGTCATGTAGCTAGAAGGTGACCGAGCCGCAGCCGCATCTAACCTGTCCTGTCTCCCCAGGACCTCAGATCCAGAAAGGGACTCCCAAGAGAACCTGCACCAGGTCCTGAAGGTGGACAAGTAAAGCGTTAGTGCCGCTCTTCAGAAGACCCACGGGCCCAGAGAGAGGGGTGGTAGGGTGCTGCTGCAGGTCAGGAATGGAAAATCTCCATGTTCCGGGAGCAGAGGAGACCGCACTCCAGACGCAAAGGGTTCCCTGAGACTTCGGCAAGGGAGTGGGCCCAGCCACAGGCTAGGGGAAGGGCCCTACACCACACCCCAGGGCACCAGAGCCTCCGATCTTTCTTCTAGAAAGGACATTTGACCATGTCAGTGGCTGGGGCCAAGAAGTCAGCTCTCCTTTCTACCTCAAGGAATCTGAGGGATGGTGTTGCCAAACCCCTCTCTCCCCAAAGCCCATTTCTGTCCCAAAGAAACTGCCGATGCCCCGCCCCCTGCCCAGTGCAGGGCCCAAAGGGCCCACGGGGACACTTGGTTCTCCACAAGGAGCGAGACCCGCCCAGCTGGCCACCTGGGAGAGGCGCAGAAGAGGCTGCTTCTGGGCTTTCTGTCCAGGCTGGTGCGGGGTCTCGCTAGGGCAGAGCTCCGCTGAACGTCATGATGGGCAGGCAGAGGAGGGAGCAGAGGTCCGCTGTGGCCTGGGCTGGTGGTTGGGGCGACCTCTGGGGTTTGGGGCAGAGGCTGCTCTTCTCTGGCTTGTAGCAAGGTGAGACCTCACACCTGAGGGCAGGGCAGGGGTAAGGCCAGGCCTCACATCCCTGCAGCAACATCCAGGCCTCTGGGTGGGACGACACGGAAGCTGACCCCTCCCTAGACCCCACTCAGCTGAGGCAGAGCTGGGCCCCGCTTCCTACCTGACCACACTCTGTAGGATCTTCCTCTCATCCTGGTCCAGACACACAGCAAAGGGACAGCTGTTGGAGCCGATGATCTGCACCTTGTCCACTTTGATCTGCGATGTGCTAATCTGGAAGGAAGGCCCAGGTCAGTCCCCAGGGCCCCAACCACAGGGATCCCAGGCCCTGGCAGTTCCTTCCCTCCTTGGAACTGCCCGCCCAGCCGTGGGGGCGGGGGTGTCAGGCAGCCGTCCACCGCTAGGCCAGCTCGGGGGAGGGGTTCCGGCTCCTCTCCACCCTCTGCCCTTCCCTGGGTCTGGAAGAAGCAAGTGCCCTCTGAGGAGAAACTGTACTGCTCTCTGCCCTCACTGTGGCAGCCCTGGGGTCCCCGTCACAGCCTGCTCTGCCACAGACTTAGGGCAGAACCTTTCCATACACACAGCCTCTCGCAAAGGCACCCCTTCCTCCTAACACCCCACAGTGCCCTGCATGTGTGCACAGCCCTAAGCCACACCCCCTCCCTGCCTCTCCTTCCCCCACACGCCTCCCACACCTCTCAGACACACCTCCTCTCTCACGCACACACCCAGGCACGCACACGTGCCCACACACCCAGAAGGTTTCCCGCGGGTATGGCTTCAAGGACAGGGAAGCCCTTACCTGGTTGAAGCCCTTCTTGGATTTGGGATTTTGCCTTTTCACCACTTCTGTCAGGTTTAGCGTCAGGGCCTCCGTGCCCGCATCTGAAGGGCAGGGGCGGCTCAGGCCAGGCTCGGAAGCCCTCCCTGCCACCGCCCCGCGCCCTGCCCACCTGACTCACCCAGCTCCTCCTGCTTCCGGCAGGCCTTGTTGAGGTTGATGGACGTGCAGACCTTCTCCATGTTATTCCAGCGGCTGCGTCCACTGATGGCCCCCTGCAAAGGCAGCAAAGCCAGGTCCTCTCTCAGCTTGGAGGCCCCGCTGCTGCTACCTTCCCTTCAAAGAGGGGGCCCCAGGTCAGCAGGGACAGGGAGCGCCTGCCACCAGCACCCCCAGGAAGCTCTCTCATTCCCCAGGCCCGCTGGCTTCTTCACAAAGAGCCCCTGACACCTGTATAGACCTTGGTGACTCTGGGGTCAGAGGACATGAGAGCTGAGAGCACCTCAAGGGGGCCTGGATGATCTGCCGAGCCCACAGGCCTGGAGTCCCTGGCCGAGCCAGCCTGGAACCCCTCTTTCATTGGGGGCCTCCATGTTACCAAGCCCCAGAGCACTGCTCAGTCCTTGGTCAGTCTCAAGGTGGGCTCACTTGACCTCACAGGAGAATCTGGTTCTGCTCCCCCCTCCTCTCCTGGGCTTTTGGGGGGCACACTCCTGGTTCACCACCACCTTTCTGGCCCAGGCCTCTACTTAGCACGACGCCTGCCTCTGCCTGGGTCACATGACACAGGTCTGGGGACCCTCTCCTGGCTCCTCTGCTCTTGCGCTCCTACTTCTCCGGTGGGGAACCTCTGCCACCTACGCTCCCATCTCCCTGTTCCGCGTCTGGGCCCATCTGTCCAACTGCACACTCTGCCCTCCTCTTCCTGCGTCTCCAGGGAACCTCGCACTCTACGCATCCCAGCTACAGGACCAGCCCCTACCGGATGTGGGCCCTTCTGAGAAAATGGAGCAATTAGCCTCAGAAAGCTGAAATCCAACCCATCCCCAGGCCCTGCTGCTCCCACAATGCACAGACAGCTCCCACGTCCTTCGTCACTACTGCCACCAGCCCTGCGCTGGCTGCCCGCGTTTCTCTCCTGGAAAACGCCAGAGCCTCCTATTGGCCTTGCCGCGTCCCCCGTGGGCCCCTCCAGCCTGTTCTCCACAGAGTTGCGGGAGGGAGCGTCCAGACCGCAAGTCCGATCCGGTCGCACACACTCCCAGCACAGCCGCCAACTGAGGCTGGCTCCACGGACGCCCGCCGCTCCTAGGACGGGGCGAAACGCTCCTTGTGATCAAGGCCCCTGGCATGCTGGCCCCACCTGTCTTTTTAGCGTCATCTCATCACCTTAAAAAATGCTTTATTTATTTATTTTCAGAGCGAGGGGAAGGAAGAGACGGAAAGAAGCATCAATGTGAGAGAGAAACATTGACAGGTTGCCTCTCATACGCATGCCGACTGGGGGCCAAACCTGCAACGTAGGCCTGTGCCCCGATGGGGAATCGAGCCAGCGATGTTTTGCTCTGTGGGGCGACATTCAACCCCCTGAGCCACACTGGTCAGGTCAGGGCTCCCCTCATCACCTTTAGCATTCATGTTCTCTTCCACTCAGGGCCTTTGAACACGCTCTTCCCTCTGTCTGGAGAATACACCCCTCTCTTTTAGCTTAAGTAACTCCCGGTTTTCTTGCCACCATTGACTCAATGCCCCTTCTCCAGGAAGCCTTGTCTAACTTTCCTGACTGGCTTCAATAATCCCCCTTGGAGGTTCTCACAGTACCATGTACCTCTCCTTCACCTGCTGGTCATAGCTGTAATTACACACCTGCGGGTTTGTGGAGCCAGCGCCTACCGTGCCTCTAGGCTGTAAGCCTTTTGTTCACTCGAGAACACACCTGTGCCTGGAGCAACATCTGGGACACAGTAGGTGTTTAACAAACACCTGGCACGCAGCTCTCGGGCTCAGTCCCTTCTGCTCGCCCCCACAGCCGCCAAATGGAACGTAGCCCATCACCACCGTCCCCTCAGCCCTTCTCTGGCCTTGTCATCACTCACCGTTCGGGCCATTAACTTGTCTCCTGGTTTCGCGTCTGCCTCTCTCCTCTAAAAAGCTAAAGGGAGGGCTGGGCCCTCCCCATTACTGCGTCCCCTCCCCACCCCCCCAGCACAGAGCCCGGCAGGAGTATCTTTTGAATGGTTGAAGGAAGAAAGAAAAAAAGAAGGCAGGAGGGCTCCCGCTGGTGAGGTCCAGCCTCTCGTGGCCTGTGCCCCGAGGTGCACCATGCTCACAGGCACATGCCCTCTGGTGGGCTCATGGGCTCCCCCTTCCACTCTCTCCTCCAAAATCTTTCAACTCCCTTCACACCAATCCCACTTCCCAGGCCCCCCGGCCCCCGGCCCCAGCCCCCAGCCCAGGCCAGGCCCCCTCCGTGCCTCTGGGAGCTGTGCCCACCCCGCCCTCAGCCCAGCCCTGCAGCCAGGCCCTGACACACGGTGCGGGGTGCTGAACACCTCTGGGTGGAGGGAGGCCGCAGGGGTGGATGGCCTTTGCGGCCTTGAGCACCTTAAAAACAGGGGTCCAGGGACCTCAGGGTCTGGCGCTGGGTGAGGCGGATCAGGAGCAGACCCCAGAGGGGCATGGGCCCCAGTATCGTTCTTACCTTGCTGTAAATAATCTGTAGTGTTAAAGGGACGGCCTCCCGGTCCCCATCAATGCCCAGCCTCTTGCTGCCAGGACCTGTGCCACACAGACAGACCCTTTACTCAGTGCTGCTTACAGACCCGGGGGCTATGCCGGGTACCCGCCCCCCACCCCCACCCCCACTCCCACCTCTGGCCCTGCCTTCAGTGACCCTGCCTCTTCAGGGTCACACTTCCCCAGGACTCTAGCCCCCTAAGGCCCTGGGTCCCAGGGCCCCATCTCCCCAGGGCTCCACCACCTGGGGCCCCACCTCCCCAGCCCCCCACTGTCTCCACTGGGACTTAGGCAGCACTCGCCTGAAGCCTTGATGGCCCGCGTGGCAGCAGAGTGCCCGAGCTCCAGGGAATGAATGAAGATCTCCGTTGACTTCTCCCCGGTGATGAAGGTCAGCTGGAGAGGGCGAGACCAGAGCATCAGTGCAGGCCTCCCGTGGAGACCGTCCCGGCTCCTCTAGCACAGGGCGGGGCGCTGCCACGCGGTGGGCACGGGACCGACAGGTCCATGGGCACAGGCAGTGCCCTGGCCCTGCGCAGGGGGCCGGGGGGGAGGGCCTGCCAGGGAGCCTGAGGGAAAAGGCGGCCTGGGGCGGCCGGGCGGCTCACCTCCGTCTGGTAGACCTGCAGCAGCACTGGCCGGGCGGCGAAGCGGCAGTAGTAGAGCAGCATGTCGGCCAGGATGGGCAGCGGGGTGGGCGAGCCCTCCAGGGGCCGGGAGTCAGCTTTCAGGGACTGCTGGGTAAGGGAAGCCCGAGTCAGAGGGACAGAGGGATGGAGAGGGAGAGAAAGGAAACGTGAGAGGAAGAGAAGCAGAGGAAGACATACTCACATGCAGAGGAGGCACAGAGGCAGAGCGGTGGGGGTGGGGGGGTCGCGGGGGGGGGCAGTGAGATGAAAGCAGGAGACAAAGAGGTCAGAGCAGGACCCACAGCCCGGTCTCCATCCTCTCCCTAACCTGGCACGTGGGCCCCTCGGAAGGCCCCTGGTAGAGCTGGACAGAGCCGAGCTGGGGACGGGAGCTAAAGCCTACGCTCCCCTGGATCCTTCTGAGGACCCTCCCTTTCACCGTGGTGACTCCAGCCACGGGCCCCTCCCCACCTGCATGCCCTGCGCTCCGGTTCAGCCCTGCTTCTCACCTCTTCTCTCTGCTCGTTCCCAAGTGCGCCCCGGCCCTCCACGCGGCCTCCAAGCTGCGCCTCCCACCAGAGCCCTCGGAGCAAGGCTGGGTGACCGCAGCCAGCGGGCCTTCTCTGCCCACCCCGGGGCCACTTACCTGGCACAGGACTTCGGGGGGCAGGTGCATGAGGCCCAGCACGTTGCGCTCATACCAGGGGTCGAGCGTGCCGAGGTAGTGAGAGATATCATTGGTGCTCTCCTCCCACTGGGCCACGCCCAGCTCCTGAGACAGGCAGGGGGCGAGTCATTCCCAGGTTCCCAGGCGGCGAGGGGGCCTGCCCCCGCAGTCCCGGGGCCCTGGGCAGCCCTGCAGCCCCGGTCTGAGCTTCTTCCTGCCCTTGGACCCATCTGACACCTTTCAGTCTGTGTCATACAGCAAAATGCCACCCCCAAGCGCAAGGCAGGGACCACTCTTGGGAGCCAGGGCCTGGCAGGAGAGGGGCCCCACAAACTCAGGTGACAATTTTTGGTGACTTCCAATCATCCCTTTCAGGTCATTGGAACCCGCTCATGTCAACTCTACTTCCCCACCCCATTTGTTCTGGGCAGGGGACATACTGTAGGGACGGGGTGCCTCGGGGAGTCTGTGGGGAGTGGGGGTGTCTGGCTTGGAGGGGCTGGGCAGGCACTGGAGCTGGTCCCCTGGTTCCGCTTCACGGGCACGTAGAAGAACTGAAGCTTGAAGAACCGTGTGAGGACTGGGCGATTGTTCTCCAGCCGCCTGGAAGCGATGGGGAGACACAGTGAGAAGAAGCTCCTTGGCCTCTGTCGGACCTGAGCCTCAAGGCTCCGATGCCACAGGCACCACCACCCTGCCCCTGGGCAGTGACGCGCCCCCATTCCGGCTCTTACCGCAGGTTGCTGTACGCCCGAGCTACCTTCCCCGAAATCCGATCGGAGCCGAAGACTACAACACGCAGCGTGGAAGCCTTGGGGTCCTCGTCCCCACTCAGGAAGGGGCGGCGGCGCTGATAGCGTGATGGGGGGGCCAGGAGCCAGCTGGGCAGCTGGGTGGTGAGCTTGGGCTGGGGCAGGGAGCGGGAGCGCTGAGGCCGGGCCGGGGGCGGCCCCGGGCTGCCCAGGGGGCTGCAGAGGCTCCCTGCCCGCCGCAGGGGCTGCGCCGCGTCCGAGCTGCCCTCCATGCCCCGAGAGTCCCTTCGTAGCACCAGCTGGCTGGTGCTCTTGAAGAGTTTATAGATCCTGTTGAACTTCTGCCCGGGCCTGCGGTAGCCCCGGCGCTCCCGACTGCCAGACGTCTTGGACCACTCAGGGGAGCTCTCTTCGCTGTCCTCCACGTAGCCACTGTCCATGCCATCTGAGAGGCCCGAGACAAAGGAGGTCAGCAGCTGGCGTGACAGGGTGGCCCCCGAGGCCTGGGACGAGGCAAGGGACAGGGTGGAGTCGCGGGAGGCCTCTGAGCTGGTGGAAAGCAGTGAGTCCCGCTTGGCACACTGCCCATCCGTTTCCAAGTCCTCTTCCTCCTCCTCCTCCTCCTCCTCCTCCTCCTCCTCCTCCTCGTCGTCTCCCAAGATCCCTGGCTGGAGCAGCTCCTGCTCCTTGAGTAGGATTTCCTGCAGGATGTCTGCATGGAAGCAAGAGGAGGCACCATCTGGGCATGTGGACCCTGGAAACCTTTCTTGCTCCCCTTTGGGAGGGGTGACAGGGTGGACTTGGGGAGAAGATGGCAGGATGGATGACCTCTGCTCCACTGAGAGCTGGGTCAGGTGGGAGGGCGGGTGGGGCTGCTGCACAGACCAGGACAGGGACGGGAAGAGGGCCGGGCAGTTTGGTGGTGGGCATCACAGGGGCCCGGCCTGGCTGCTCACCGAAGCTGTCCTGGTTCCAGTTGTAGGTGTAGCACCTGGCGACAGGGATGGGGATGGTGCGGAGCTTGCCGGGGTTCGCAGTGTCTGTAAGAACGGGGCAGACGGAGGGTGACGCTGCGGAAGGAGCGTTGGGATTGGCCAGCCCAGTCCCCTCATCTGAGAGAAGAGACCACAGCTGGGAGGGGCCCGGCCCAGACCACAAGGCTGGGCGCCCCCCCCCGCCCCCATGATGCAGCGGGAAGCGGGGACGCCAGGCTCGCAGCCAGAGGACCCCCTGTGGGTGCTGTGCCCTTTTAAAGGCTGTGTAAGTGTGTGAAGTCTCAAACTTTGAGCCTCATTTTACAGGGTCCAAACAGGAAAACAATGGCACTATCTCTTCGGGTGTTGTGAGGAATATCATGCCCCTTCATCCCTGGTGACAGAGTCGTGGAGAGGAAGTTTCCCAGGCTCCTCGGGGTGAGGTGTGGCCAAGTGACTAAAGTGGGCCCAGGGGCACGTGTAGCCGTGATGCCTGCAACTTCCGTATTATCACCAATGTAAAAAGAAAGCCCCTTGCCCTGGATTAGCACAGTCTTTTTCTTTTCACACCGGTGGCCACATGATGGCAACCCAACCCTAACCCTGCAGGCAGGAACAGTGCACCCGGGGAGGTGGAGGAACATGGGTCTCTGAGTGCCTGTGCGGAGCAGAGCCACCAACTGGCCTGGACGGCCGCCTGGGAGCCGGAGGAGATGACGGGAAAGTGGGCCCCACTATTCCAAGAGCCTCACCTAAGACGCCAGGGAAGTCGGCTTTCTCTGCCACCGCCCGCAGCTTGGTCCTGAGCCACTGCCGGGCCTCGGCTGCATCCCCGATGCCAGATGCCAGCTCCTGTGCCTCCGCGGTCTCCGCGAAGATGTCCTCGAGCTCAGCCAGGGCCTTGGGCTGAAACCCCAGGAGGAGGAAGGTTTGCTCCCATACCATGGCCTGGCCACCTGCCTTCTCCACTTCCCAGGGTCTCAATGAGGGCAGCAGTGGCCGGTCCCCTCTCCAGCTTCATCACCCTTCTCCTCCCAGAGACCAGGGAGCCAGGCCTGCCTCCAACCCCCTGGCGCGGGATGTGGTCTGGAGAGACAGGCCCAGAGCCAGAGCCCCGCAGACTTGGAGGGGACTTCAGAGCTCACCCCTGCAGCCCAGAGAGGGGACGCTGTGCAGGGCCATAGGCCTGGCCCATCACAGCACTAGGATTAGAACCCAGGTCTTCCAACTGTCGTCTAAATCTTGCCTCTCTGAGGTTCTGTGCCCACCCGCCCTGGTCAGGACCCAGCACCACACAGACCCTGTCAACAAGGCCCGTTCTCCAGCCCCTGTCCTCCCGGCCCCTGGGGGCGAGGGAGGCCAGGTACCCAGGAGGCCACAGCACTGAGATGTGGCAGAGAGGGGACTCCACCTCTCTGGAGGCGTGTTCTTCTACAAGGGGGCCATGTTAAGCCCCAGGCCGCAGGGTCATACCTGCAGCCTGCAGTGCAGCCCGGAGAGGTCACAGTGGGCCCCGAAGGTGGCCTGGAAGGCGTGCAGGAGCAGGGTGACGTAGGCGCTGTGGGGCGAATGCCCGGGTGCGCTCAGCTTGTTGGCCACAGCGAGGAACTCCGCCTGCACCTCCACTGGGTTCAGCAGCAACACAGTGCTGGGGGCACAGAGGGATGGTTGTGGGTGCTGGGGGTGCCGCCACGCACTGTGCCAGGCCGTGCCAGCCTGCGGCCAGGCCCCCGCACAGCCCAGGTGGGGGCTGAGGCCAGGGGAGTGGGTGAGGGCTCCAGGGCCCCAGCTCCCAAGGGGAAGTTTATGGTCCACTTCTGAGTATTTTTCACCAGTGTCCTCAAAAGCCTTTTAAAAAAGCACACTTAGCCCTGGCTGCTGTGGCTTGGTGCACTGTGCACTGGCCTGCGAACCAAAGGGTCACTGGTTCAATTCCCAGTGAAGGGCACATGCCTAGGTTGCAGGCCAGGTCCCCAGTGGGGGGGACACACCAGAGGCAATCATACATTGATGTTTCTCTCCTTCTCTTTCTCCCTCCCTTCCCCTCTGCCTAAGAATAAATAAATAAAAATATTTAAAGAAAAAAAACTTAATTAAAAAAAACCAATCTACTTTCATTTTTATATAAACATTTTTTTTCCTGCAGGACATCTGAATGGATGCAAGACTGCTCAAGAGAGGACTGTATTTTAGGTGAGGTGACTTGAAGCCAGGCGATCACCTTGGGGCGGAGGCAGAGGGCAGACACAGGCCCCAGTGCGGCCTGAAATTTTAGTCCCCGCCCTGCTCCTCAGGCCAAGGGTTGTGGTGAGGGGTAGCCTCTGCCCTGGGGAAGGGGGAGGCCACGCCAGGGCTGCCTCTGATCCTCCACTCCCAGGGGACCCTTTTCTGCTTGCCAGGCCTTCACACAGGCTAGCGTGGTCCAGCCAACGCTGCCTCTCCGCCCGCTGCACTCGGCTCCTCCTCGATGCCAATGTGAAACGTGTTCATTACGAAAAGCTCAAACATACACAAGGGTTAAGAGGATCGTGAACCGTGAGGGTGTCGATCACTCAGTTAACGGTTAACACCACAGGACTGTTGTCACTTCGCCCACACCAACCCCCATCACTGGGTTTTCTCAAAGTGTGTTCGAGCCATCGTGGCGTTCTATCTGTAAACACTTCGGTGTGAACCGCGCACATTCGCTCTTGCTCTCTCTCAAACCTGCGCTGTGTGAAAGCTCACTGCAAAGAAAGCTCACTCGCCCGGCGCTGCCCCCGCCCCGCCCCCGCCCCCGCCCCGGCACTGCTCTCCGTGGACATCGGTCCCAGCGCTGGGTCCCCGGCTCAGACCCAGCCTCCGTCAGAGTAGTTATGATTTGGGGAGAAACTAATAAGAGAAAGGGGGCAGGCTCCCGTATGCCGCCCCTAACTGAGCGCCCCCTCCCCGAGGGCTCGGTGGCTCCTTGCGCAGGCGCGGCTCCGCCACACTGCGTGCAGCCCCGGAACAGCCAGGCTTTTGCCCGCGCCGCCCGCACGGCTCTCTCTGCCGGGCAAGCCACCGTGGTTCCCAGCTTAGGGGACACAGAAGGGAGACCATCTCTCAGCACTAAGACCTTCCTACTAACCTCTCAGCACCTCAGCTTCCTGACCTTAAAAACACCTTTTCCATAAGGTTAACAGGAGGATTGGAAGAAGCTACGACGCCAACAGCGGCGCCCAAAGCTCAGCAAGCGCAGCAAAGATGTGGGAGACTATTCGCCAGCCACCTGCCTCCGCCCCACCAGACGCATCTCGTTTACTTAGTAAACTAACGTTTACTAGACATTTTTATGCCCTTCTGCTTCAAAACCTACTACTGGCTTTTTTGTTGTTGTTGTTGTTTGTTTTACCTAGAAGGGACTCAATCAAATGTCTGCTCAGCCGTGTGAGTGCACAGTGACCCCCGGGGGCTGAGGATGGGGGGGGGGGGTGGCTAGGGTGACTGTAACTTCTGCTGGTGGAGGCTGGAGTCTCCGGGTGTCTAGATGGCACAGCACCCCCACCGCGGGAGACCTGCTGGAGGGTGCCCGGAAGGGAGGCTTTTTCTAGTATTTGTCAAACAGCAGCCTGGGACCCATGAGCGGGTAATGAAATCAACTCGGGGAGTCACAATCAGAATTGCCTTTTAAGTTAAACGGAACAGAGTGGGATGGAGCCCATCCTCTGAGGCAAGGGGGAGCTTCCTTTCATGAAACCTGTTCCAGCTGTGTGTGTGTGTGCACGTGCAGGTGCGGGCGCGGGTGTGGGTGCGCCAGCCTGTCATAGAAAATGGATTTTTTTTTTTATTGTAGATTCTGGTCAAAAAAGTTTGGGAAGTGCAGAAAGACACTGTGGAAAGAGCATGGGATTTCGAGTAAGACTGAGGTTCAGATCCTGGCTCAGACACTTCCTAGCTGTGCGACCTTGGGGAAGTTCCCCGGCCTCTCTGACCTCCAGCTTCCTCATCTGAAATGTGAGGTAAAGGGAGGTAATGTGTGCCCAGCACCTGGCACAATCAATGCAAGTAGTCCTTAACCTTTTTTTTTTTCCTAATGTCTCCGACTTGTTTAGGAATCTGTTGCAAGACCCTCGGCCCAGAAAAGTGCCTCTGTGCATCACATCAGCAGCAGCCGCAGGGGGTTTCTTAGCCTGTTTGTTGGTGGCTTGGGTGGGAGGAGGTGCTGTGACAGAGGGAGTGCCAGCTGCAGGGGCCGGGGAGGTGAGGGAACAGGCAGACAGTGGGGGCGGAGTCCCAGCCCTGTCCCCACCCCCACGCTGCCCCGCCCTCCCCAAGGGCACTCACACAGTGGAGCTGCGCTGACTCCGGAGGGGCAGACCCTGCTCGGCCCTCACCAGCCGCTGGTAGGAGATTCCTGTGGCCAAAAAGAGAAGAACAGAGTTCACGGTTTACGTCTCCCTTCAGCACTCCCAGCCCTGCACCTCACAGCGAGCCCGGTGCTGGGCAGTTAGGCTGGGGGTTCCTGGGTGCGGTTCAGGAAAAGGGGCAGATTAGGCCCAAGGCCCACAAGGCCTTGGGCAATAGGAGGCCAGGCCCCGCCGTGGCTGAAGCCACCTGCTCCGCAGGGACTATGGGCAGAACACCCCGAGAGGAGGCCGAGGCCATGTCTCCGCTGTCCAGGTGTCCCTGTCACTGCTCCCCTCCTCAGTGCCGGTGCCCTGCAGGGGGTGTGCAGGCACCCCTCGGACTGTTCACTCAGCCTCAGCACCCTCCACGGCTCTCACCTTCCCCTCAGCATCCTGGCCTCGCTCCCACAACTTTTCAGGGGACCGCGGCCCTGCCTGGCGTTGGCCCTGTAAGACTGAGCCTCCGCACCTGTGCGCCCCCAGCCACCCTTCGGTCTGCTCTGACTTCAGATGTGCAGAGAGGAAATGAGCTCAAGGTTTTCCATTTGTTCCTGCCGCTTGGCTCAGCTCTGCAGCTGGGAAACAGACCCTTCACAGTGTGTGTTCGGTTCTGTGTCAGCCTCGGTGAGGAGATGAAACATTTTGCCCTCCTCCCTGACAAGGGTGACAGAAGCAGGCAGCCTCCTTGTCGGAGCGTGGAAATCCTTACGGGGTCCCTGTCTCCCTGGTGGGGCGGCGCCACCTTCGGCCTAGTGTGAACTGGGCGCAGGAGGGCAACCCCTGAGGAAAGTGCAAGGCCAAGCCTGGGGTTTCAGGCAGCTGTAAACAGAAAGGCAGGCCACATCCACGTGTGCTTGACGCTCCTTTAGGCGTTAAAACCTTTCATTCCATAATAAGAGACAGAAAGTAAAGATGCAAATGTTTATGATCGGTAATGTCCCAGGAGAAACTTGTTGCCACTGAACACTATTCACAATTCACCTGCTGCTGGCGGATGGGCAAAACTGGCCGCATCCAGGTTTGCCCGGACTGACGAGAGGGCCAGGGTGGGAAGGCACCGTGTGAAAGGAAAAGGGGAGGGGAAACTGCCCGACGCGCACGAAGTGCCTGTGGGCCAGGACGGCCGAGGGCCTTTCCGTCCTGCAGTCACCAGCCTGGGTCTTTTGGTAGAATCGCAGCCTTATGCAATGTGGGAATGTGGCTTTTTGAGTCAAAGAATATGGTTTTTAGACTTGAGCAGATACAGGTTCAAGTAGTAGAGCTCTTGTAAGCCAGGTGACGCTGGGCGAGCTACTGAGCTGCCTGGCCTTCAGTTTCATCATCTGAAAGATGGAAATACTGTAACCACCCAGGGGGACGTTCTGCGGATAGACGAGGCCCACTCTTAGCAGCATTTGGCGCGCTGCAGGCACACCGGTCATGCAGCCATTGCCGCCATCACCGCCTCCGCCACCCCCATCCTCCTCCTCCTCAATCACAGTCCTACTTTTGACCAGGAGAACTTAGGCAGCCTGTCCCAGGCCATCAAGTCATAAGTGACATAGGCCTTTGCCATACCAAGCCCCACGTTTCTTCCCTCACACTTGCCTTTAGAGTGTGGGCAAGAAACGTCCAGCTTCTCTGAGTCTTGGTTGTCTCCTGCACTCAGTGGGACTAATCTTGCTCTTCCTTCTCACGTAGCAGGGCTGCGGCCTGGGTGAGATGCAGCCCTGGAGGCTGGGGCACCCTGAGTGACTCACACATGTGAGGCCCACCGTTGCCCTCGGGCTCACAGATAAACTCTCTGCAGGCAAGTGCTGTGGTTTGCACAGTTATGCGGGCGGCATGGAGTAAACACTCAACAAACATGTGGGCTCCACCTGAGAGGGCGGTGGTGGGCAGGGCCTGGCAGCGCTGGCCTGAGGTTTCCTGCCACCTCCGCAGTGGAGGCAATAGGCACCCTGTTGGGGGTGGAGTCAGGAAGAAGGGGGAGGCCCGAGGCTTCATACCTGCCCACTTCCTCTGCTACCCAGCCACATTAAAGTGGAGTAAAGTGTTTCATTCATCTCCATGGCAACTGGCTCCCTAGGGCTCCCTGGGTGGAGGGCCCAGCTCTTCAAGTCTCTTGTCATCTCTTTGTGACCTTGCCAGGACTTTTCCCATAAGCTAAAAGCACCCAAATCCTACTGCCCAAGCAATGTGAAATCAATGTAGGTCAGCCTTTGTCCTCACAAACTGCCGCGAGAGGGAGACAGTGCTATCCTCCCGTTTTATTGATGAGGAAACAGGCTCCTGTAAGTAAGACGTCTTGCCAGCAGTCCCACAGGTCGCGGGTTTGAAACCACAATGGTCTAACACCCAGTGCAGGCACCAGCTGAGAGATACAGCCTCAGCGTCTCCCCTGAAAGCTCCCTCCCAGCCTGCGTTCTAGCCCCTCCCTGGTTCCCCTCAGCGCCAGCTCCTCCTCCCCCCATCCCTGCTGGGCTCATTGGGGTTGGAGGTACTTAGCTATAAGGCAAAACTATAACCACATGCCTCTACAAAGTCATACTCCAGCACTTTCTAACTATATGAGCCTACTGAAGGCTTATATAGACGAGGGTAATTTTGTTTAATTTACTATTTGCTGTGGACAAGGGCTCAGGTTCTGTGAAATTAGAGGTTAACTTGTGGATGTGGGATGAGTGATTTTTATTCCCCACAAAAGATAACCTCAGAGGTTACGGTTCCATTCCGCTATATGATATCAACTGATTTTGCATCTAATTTTGCAATCTGATTCCAGCTTACGTGAGAAACTGATTTCAGTTTCTCAAACCCTCACCTGCGACTCGGACTCCCTGTGCATTTGGATGAGTTAGGTTTGTTCATTGTTTGAAAACGACCCTCTGACATGAGGGAGAGTTAATGGCTTCTTGTTTCAGTTCCACTTTCCATGGAAGAGGAGAATTTCACAGTACGGGCAGCCTGGCCCTAGTACCCCTCTCCAGACAGTTACAAGGGGAGACCTCCCCAAAACCCGGAATTTATGTATAAAAAATTGTGTTCTTACTCTTACATGTTTAAACTTCAGTGACCTTCAAAGTACTCTCCGTTTGATGCAATACACTTATCAAGACTTTTTCCCCACCATTCAAATCAGTTTTCGAAATCCGCAATTTTGGTGTCTTTTAGTGCTTCTGCCATTTTTTTTTGTTTCACCTCTTCCACGTCGGCAAAACATTGCCCTTTGAGGACTTTTTTCATCCAGGAGACAAAGAAAGTTGCTCAAGGTGAGACCAGGTGAATAGGGAGGGTGGGGCACAGGGGTCATGCCGCCTTTTTGGTCAAAAATGGCTGAACACCCAGTGAGGTGTGGGCAGGTGTGCTCGGAAATCCCCCATCATGAAATGGACAAACATGTTGAAAGAATCTTCAAAAAAAAAAATTCACTGAAGCCGAATGCAGCCTCTCACACCACCACCAGCTGGTGCACTGATACAAGTGGGTTCCTAGAACACTCGTCTAGCTGGGGAAGCCTGTATTACAGGGGGCCGGCCCTCCAGAAAGTAACTTCAGGTTTTTTGGGGTCCCCCTCGTATTTGCCTTCTCCTACATCACCCGCATATCTGAGGCCTCACATGGTCCCTGGAGCATGTCCGGGGGAAGGCCCTCTGCAGAGAGGGACACAAGTTCCCAGGGTCCTCCCTGCCCTGAGTCCAGCTCCAGTTGCTGTTCTGCCTGGCTCTTGTCCCTGAGTCGGGGCCTCACTGCAGCACCTCCACCTCTGCGCCACATCTGCTCGCCGGGCTTCCCAGAACAGAGTTCCTGCTCGGCTGCCCACAAAAACATCTCCAGGCACAGTGGGCATGCAGCGGAGGGGAGCCAGCTGGTTCCACTTGAAAGTGGGAAGCGGTCTCCCCATGTGCAGGTGACAGCCCTCCCCCAACCCCGCATCCCCCTCAGCCATTTCAAAGTAAGAAAGAGTAATTTCAGTCTCTGGTGTAGACTCAAGGCCCGGCCCGGCATTTGCATTTAGCTCTTTTCTGTCTCAATTATAAACAGGAAGAAGACTGCATTCTTATTAAAGGAATTCTGGTCACAAGCAAGAAGCCCAGAAGTGGTCTAGATGTATTTATTTTGCGGGGGACACTGGGGAGCACGGGAATGAAACGGATGAACCTTAAAATCATTGGTTCCCTTAGGGCGCCTTGAAAAGTTAGGTTGGCAGTTTCTCGATTCATCATGTGCACAAGCACCTTTCCTTGTTTGACACCTTCTCCCCAGGGGCTTCCTGATTTCTTAATTCTTCCACCCGCGCCTCTCCCATGAGGTGAGGTCCCTGTAATAGGTAGACTTGGGTGACAGCCAGTCTTAGCCTGTGCCTGCCCTGCTCTGCTATAACTCACACAGCTGGCTGGTTGGGCGCAGACAGATCAGACGGTTGGTTGGGAAGGAAACCATGAACCCTCAAAGGAATGTACAGACAGAGCTTCAGCCCTGAGCTTTCTAGGGTTCATGAATTGTTGGGGAATAAGACTTGCTACTTCTGTTCTGTGGTGCTTAATGTGTGCAATGAGAATTAAACACTGTCAGTACTAAATAGGGCCTGGTGTACACATAGATTTCCAAGGAAAAAAATGGGATTACAACATGCATAGTATATTGGGGCCTGCTTTTTTAAAAACTCAAATTATTCAACATCTTTTGATGCCAGTAATTGTATTTCTGTATCATTTTCAATAACTGACTAGCATTCAGCCCTAACTGGTGTGGCTCAGTGGATTGAGTGCTGGCCTGTGAACCAAAGGGTCACCAGTTTGATTCCCAGTGTAGGGCACATGCCTGGGTTGCAGGCCAGGTCCCCAGTAGGGGGCTTGCAAGATGCAACCACACATTGATGTTTCTATTCCTCTCTTTCTCCCTTCCTTCTCTTTTCTAAAAATAAAGAAATAAAATCTTAAAAAAAAAAAAAAAGATTAGCATTCCACCAAATGACTTCGCTACAATATACTCAACCAATTTCAATATTTAGGTTTTCTGAAATTGGTTATTAGAAAGAATGCATCAATGAACAGCCTTGTAGAAAAATCTTTGCATATCCATAATTGTTCAAATTTCTAGGAATAGAATTGCTGAGTGAAAGGATATTCTTTTTAATGTTTTAGAGAACACAGACCCCCTTTTCCTGACCAAGACTGGTATTCGTTTTTTTTTTCATCTTTGTCAATTTGATAGGAGGAAAATGATGTCTTACTGTTAAGTTTTGCATTTTCTGTATTACTAGTGAGGACAATTGTATTTGGGGGTGTTCTTCAGCTATTTATGGTTCTTTTTTTGATGTGCTTAAATCATGTCCTTTATTCATATTTTCATTGGTGTGTTAGCCTATTTTATTTTTTATCCTCACCGGAAGACATTTTTTTCATTGCTCTTTTTGGAGAGAGGAAGAGAGAAAGAGAGAGAGAGAAACATTGATTGGTTGCCTTCTCTTATACACCCCGACTGGGGATGAAACTCGCAACTTGGGTATGTGCCCTGACTGGGAATTGAACCTTCAATCTTTAGGTCCATGGGAGGATGCTCCAACCAATTAAGCCATACCACCGAGGGATGTCTACCTATTTTTAATAAACTCAAAGAACTCTTCATGGGTTTGAAAGCTATTCATTTTTATTGAAAATACTTTTCTTAGTCATTTATCTAAAGTGAGTTTTGCCATAAAAAACCTTTAAATTTTACACCCTCACATCTGTTGTCCTTTTCTTTTATAATTTTTGCCTTCCAGGGATGATCCTTCTCCATTCTAGGCTCATGTAGCCTATTTTTCTTCTGTACTTTTATGGTCTTTTTTCCTACACGTAAACCATTAATCCTACTGTAAGTTATATTTAAAAACTCAATCTTGGTTTTTTGGAGATAAAATTCTAACTCATTTGTTATGGTCTCTCAATTATCCTGATACCATTTGTTAAATGATCAATTTTTTTCATGACTCGTTTGAGGATGCCACTTTGTTATATAATATTTTTTTTAAATATTTCATTTGTTTCTAGCTATTATATTTTATTCAATTAATTTATGTATTCTTTTACCAATAGTGTATAATTTTAATAACTATATATAGCCTTAAAATACCTTCAAAGATCTACTAAGGAAGCATCCATACTTACTCTTCTTTAAGAATACGTAAACATATAAAAAACACATAGAGAAATATTATTATAGAGTGGTTCTTCTTTCAGATAGACTTTATCTATTTTGTTAAATTTTAAAAAATGCTGTTGGTATTTTGATCACAGTAACATTTATTTCCATAGCACGTGATATTAATACAACATTGACTCAATCTAGCAACATGTCTTTTAAATTACTTATCCTTCAGTTAAATTTGTTTTCTCTATGTAGGTCAGTCACATTTATTTTATTCATTTTATATTTTTAGTTGCTACTGCAAATTGTTTTTTTCATATGTCTCCTTACTGGTTCAGGCCCTTATATGGCAAAGTTCTTAGCTACTTGTTTACTAGTTTGACAGTTCTTTGTGTGATCCTCTTAACCTTGGCAAATAAGCAATTGTTTGATTTCTACCTATTAAAATTTTATTTTCTCTGGAAGAGGAAATATTCTTTGTCTTTGTTTTTGTTTTTGCATAGGCAAAATACTTATAAGCATGAAGAGGAAGATAATTGACTTAAATGGAAATGCCTCTAGTATTTCACTGTGGGCTGTTACCTTATTAAGAACACTTCCATATATTAATAGTTTCCACATATTTGAGGAATGCATGTGGAATTTTACTGAATATTTTAGAGGTACCTATTCAGTTGTTTATCGACCCTATTCCTTTGAGCTACCGAGGTGATGAATGACTCTCACATCAGGCCACCTCTCAGTAAATCATACTCATCTGTGTTTTCTCCTGCTCTACAACAGTTTTCTTTGACCTCTTTTTCACATGTATTATAAATCCTGCAATCTCTCAAGGACTTCTACTTCTCAGACCCCGCCCATGAAAAACTTAGAGCCCAGCCCTTGCCCACACTTGTCATGGCGCCTGTCAACCATCAACCTGTCCACTCCCAACGGTAGCCTCCTTCCATGGCCAGAGCTGAGTCTACCCGCACGTGCATGTCCCTGTTTGCTCTGAGGCAAGAGAGCAAACGAGGGCCTCGTGTCCACATGGTGGGGGCTTCACTGTCTGACCTGGGCAGCCTCAGAGACCACTTGGATAACCAGAGCAGGGGCTCTGGCTGCATGGCAGGGTCTCCTTGCCCTGAACCCCTGCTCGGCTTCCCCTAAGGATTCCCCCTTGAGTTACTGCCTGTGTTCCCTGCGTCCAGCCATCTCTGACACTGGTGCACATACAGCACCACGAAGAGGAGACACCAGCGTTTTGAAACAGGGTCACGGACAGAGATGAGCTGAAGGAGGACAGGTGAGGAGGCTCGCAGCCAAAGAACAGTTTCAGAAGGCCTCCTGGCTGCACAGTCCCTGCTCCACGTGCCACTGACTCAGCACCTACCTGGGGCCTTGAGTTCAGCATCGATGAAGGTGAGCATCTCCTGGCTGATGCTGCAGTAAGGAACGGGCCAGGTCAGGAATCGGTGGTAGGTTTCGGCTGCTTTCAGGAGGAGATCTGAGTCCGGCGGGAAGTGTGGTGTCTGGAATGGAGAGGGAGTGGCAAGCAGAGGGGTCTCGGTGAGAGAAAGTTCACTGATCTTCCACGACAGAACCTGCTATTTTCTGGAATGTTTCACAAAGGGCACGCATTTCCTGGCAGCAGTGTGTCCAAGGACAAGGTCAGGAAGAACTGGAAGTAATGCACAGGGAATGAGTGACACACTGGCAAGATGGCGCCAAGGGACGTCTCTACTGCAAGGGCCTTGTATTTACTAAACAGAATCTGACCTATAAGAGCGGCTCTCTGAGAAGCCGGAAGTCATCTTAAACGGTGCTGTTGCTGTCTCTCATTTTGGGGAGTGGTCTTCAATGCCTGAACCACATTTATCCTCACTAGAGGAAAACGTTCTTTGAAGTGAACTGACTCAGTGTACATGGGTTTTGATGCCACCAGTCTGGAGAACACCGGGTGATAGCATTGGGTAAAACTGACCATTGGGGTACAAAATGGGGTGGACATAAAATCTCCTTCACAGGACCTCTTTCGCGGCTTGTGAACAGGTTGGAGTAGCGGCTCCTCCATGGCTCCCAGACATGCCAGGCACAACAGCACCCACATGGAGTTACCGAGACCTCTCAAGGCCAATCTGAAGCCATCGGGAAGTTGACAGGCATCTCAAGCGTCACTGCTGGCCAGCTTCCCTCTCAGTGCTCATTCTCTGGGCTGAGAGGACCGAGCCTGCCCTAGGCTGGTCGTCCTTCTCTCTCCCGCCCCGACTGCCCTGACTGGCCCGGACCAGAACTTACACAGAGGACGGTGGAGTAGAAGAGCAGGGCCAGCGGGGGGAGCAGGTCATAGGTCCCCTTCTCTTGGACCTGTGGAGAGGACAGGAGAGGAGAGTGAGGCTCTTTCAGAGGCGCAGAACAGAGCTGCGCTTTCTTGTTCTGTTCTTTCTTAACCACATGATAAAAATTTGGAAAATAGAAGTTAAGGGAAAAAAAAACCCCTGCTCGCAATGCCTCACTTCCAAACTCAACCACAGCGAAGGTTTCAACAGACTTCTCCTTACACCGTTTTTCTCGATGTATTGTCCTCTGTAGAGCTGTAATCATAGTGTGTATATTTTTACTCTTAATGTCTCTTTCATATAATATTATAAATTAATTTCTTCTGTTACATGGTCTCTAAGACCGTCTTTTGTTCCCTCCTCGTTATACATTTACCTGTTATTTGTATTGCAGATATTTTTTCCAGTTTGTTGTTTGTCTTTTAAATTTATGGATTTGTTTGATGTATATAAATTATAGGTGTTGATTTTTTTCCTTTATGGATTTTTGCTTTGTTGTGCAAGGATCCTGTGAATACTCTGATATATTTTTCTTCTATTCTTTGAAGCATTATTTTCTTAATTTAAGTCTTTAATACACCTAGAATTTCATCTGCAGTATGGTATGAGTTAGGATTCTCACTCTGTATTTTTCCAAATGTTTAATCATTGCCCCTAAGCCATTTAATAAATATTACTCATGTAATTTTATTACACACTAAATTGCGTTAATACCCTTGGTTAATAGCTATTATTTTTATTAGCTGTGTAATACTCCTTCTGGTAGATTCCCATAATTTATTAGTTTCAGTTTAGATATCTGAGATCATTTCTTGCGCTTAATTGTAATTACTTTTGCAATGAAAACCTTCGAGAAAATTTCTTTTTCTATAATTTATATGATTTACCTAGGATAGAATTCAAGAAGTGGAATCGATCAATCAAGATTATAAACATATTTATGATCTTTGAAACATACTGCCCAAATATTTTCCATAGGGTTTTGCCATTTATAATATCTTACATGTATGAAAGTACCGGTTTCACTACACGCTTCTCAGCATTGCTTATTAAAATGTTTTGCTGATTTGCCAGGCAAAGTCTGTTTCAATGTGGTTTTAATTTGCATTTATTTTATTATCACTGGGGAACATCTTTTGCATATATGTTTATGAGTTCCGGTTATTCTTTCGTGTTCCCCCACCGGCCCACATCTGCACCTGTACACACACAATGTAGAATTCTTGGGTCTTCCAGCCCATCTTCAAACTCATGGGACCGAAGACACAGGGAAAGCCCCCCATCTCTGCGATGCCTGCTGAGCTCACGTTTAAAAAGCTCCTTTTCTTTATCCTGAGGAGACCGTGCGTCTGCTCCGCTCTCAGCCCCTCCGTGGCTCAGCCCTCCTCTGCACCGTGTAAAGGGCGGCGCTAGAACTGGGACCTCGGGTGTCCTGACAAACCAACACTTTCTTCTTACAGGTAAAGGGTGGGCTAACTGAGAAAGTCAAATATTTTCCAACTCAGTTATATATTTTAAAAAGAGAAACTTTCAAGAGAATTCTTTATGAAAAGAGCCAGGACCCTCCTCAGGGCAGCCCAGTCCAGGTCAGCATTAAGGCATCCCCCTCTTAGGCATGGAAGCCTGTTTACTGAGTTGTGAGAGGAGGTCTCAGTCTGCCTCTCCCCTCAGTTTTCTCTTCTGTGTCTTTGTTTTTACGGATCTCTTTGAGGACAGAAATTCAGTAAGTCCTCCTCCGTCCTTTCTGGCCAATACCTTGACTTATAAGAAATGTCTGTTTTCAAAAGCAGCTTCCAGGCCCTCGGCCAAAGGACCACATGTTCCGACCGAGAGAGCCACATCCCTTCCCAGGAGCCTGAAATCCACAAGCAGGGCTGAAGCCGAGAGCTCGCAGCTCCCCGGCGCCTGTGCCGAGCCCCTCGGTGGCCCAGGCACTCAGAACGGGCATCCTGTGGGTGCCTCTTTCTTGGCTCCACGAGGCCGATGCCAGCCCCGCCCTCACCTCTCGGGTTTTCTGCAGGATCTGTTCCAGGAGGATAAGGAAGTGGCCCGGGTCCCTGCTGACCAGCTCCTGTAGGCTCCAGCAGTTCAGACACAGCCCGGCTGGAAAGGGAAAGGCCAGCAGTCAGTCTGGGGCCGGGGAGCGGTCGGGGCCCCGGGGGCTGCTCTGGAGCATTCCTTTGTCAGGGGGAGTCTCAGAAAATTCTGGATCCACGTGCAACCCTATCGTGCCCCATTAAGGCATAATGACAGGTCTCTTATTCCTGGAAGCTCAAGAGACACAGAAAGGGGCTGGGGCTCCCTTCAAAGCACATGAACGGGCCCCTGTGTCTCTGGAAGGCACTTGCCCTCCCCGCCAGCACCCTGCCCCGGTTTCCCACAGCAGGTGCTGGGGCCTCCAGATGCAGGCGAGGCGGGCAGAGGCCGCGATGGCTGGGAGAAGGAGGAGAGCGGGGTGAGGGTTCCCCTCCCCCCCACAAAGCCGAGGCTATGACAGCTGTGGGACTTCCTGGGGCTGCCTGGAATGGAGCCCAGGAAGGGAAGCTACGTTCGTTTGTTTTGAAAGCTACGATGAACATTTTGTCACTCTGACTTCCCCAGACGTTCTTATTTTGTCCGTCTCTTTTTCTCTGCAGTCAGCAAGGGCAAACCCCTAAAACTGAAAGGGGTGGTCACGGAGGCCTCTGAGTGTGCGCGAGTGTGAATGAGTGTGTGTCTGTGTGCCGTGGCGAGTGACAGCAGCAGGGGCGGAAGCGGACAGACCACAAGGGGCGTGGGGGCCCAGGCCCCCTTCTGTGTGTGGCTGCCTCCCAAAGTCCAGGAGGCCCTTGTCTGTGTGTTTCATGTGGTCGCAGATCTTCGTGAAATTGTAAGTCGATACTTCTGCATTCATTTACTTAATGACAGACCTCTCAATTCTGTAAGCTTAAGCTCCATCGAAATCCAGGTAGAAGGCAAGGTGAAAAATACTACCACTTATTGACTACCTACTATGTGCTAGGCCTTCGCATACACCACCTCCACTGAGTCTCCCATCTTCCCTTCAGGAAGCTGGTTCCTGTTGTTATTCCTCTCATTTTACAGACAAAGCAGGTGAGGTCCCGAGTGGTTCCGTGACTCACACAAGTTTATACAGCCAGTGAGGCAGAGTTTTAATCCAGATCTGTTTCATGCCAAAGGCCAAGGAAAGCCTCTGAGAGGAGATGACATTTGAGCGGAGGCTTGGATGAGAAAGAGCCAGCTGTGCACAGTTCTGAGGGAAGAATTCCAGGTAGCAAGTGCAAAGGTCCTGCGGTAGGAAGGAGCCAGGGATGTTCAAAGAGCAGTGGTTCTCTCTCGCAGGAGGTGGTTAGGGAAGCAAGTGAGATATGGGGTAGGAAAAATCTGTACAAGTATGGGAATTACTACAACTAGTCACCAGGCTTCGGAGACAGAACCGCCCCAGCCTGCCGATACCGCTGTTTCCATCCTGGGGAAGCACAGAATGCGGAGGCCCCCTGCTGCCCAAAGCTCTGCTGACATTGTTCCTTGCTCTATGGGAAACAGGACGGTGGAGCTGTGGAAGGAACTAGAAGCCAAGTAAACAGAATTCTGGGGAAGGCTGTTCGTGAATTCACAGCTCCTCTTTTAGAATTGGCCGCTGTGGTATCTGTAAGCAGGTTCAATAACTACAATGCTTCTAGCACATGCTAAGGAAGCAAGATGCAGCCTGGGAAGGATGGAGGAGACAGCGTGGGAGAAAGGAGAAAGTGCTGCCCACTGAGGGCCTCCTCTCCACCAGCTGCTGTGCCAAGCACCTGCCCAGGTGAGGTCCAGGGGTTTGCTCAAGTCGCACAGAGTTGGAACCAGAATCTTCCAGCTTCCAAGGCTAGTCCAGTGCTCCCTGCGGCCCCTGAGGCTTCCTTGGGCTTTAGGAGCACCGCGCTTGTTTCCCCAGACCTACCTGACCAAGAAGTGGAGCGGCGGTTGAGGCTGAGCCCGTGCAAGCAGCGCTCCAGGGCATGCTGGATGCGGTCTTCTGTGCACGTTGTAGCCCCTGGCTGCATCCTGAGTCATCGCCTGCGTGAGAGACAGACATCGGTCAGCCCGGAGGCCCCGAGGGGCGAGGAGCACGTGGCCTAGGGGGCAGGCGGCGCGGACAGTGGGCACTCCCAGCCCAGTGCCCTCAGCCTTGCCGTTGCTTGGGTGCTGCGGGCACGGCATGAGGGGGCTTACAGCTGCCTTCAGGGCTAGAATGGCTCCTGCGGGGGGCTGCCCTGAGTGGCAGGAAGGGGTGCTCCTGCAGCCCAATAGCAGGACGCTACAGGAAACGAAGGGTCAGGGACAGGGTGGGGGGCGTTGCCCACAGGCCGTGGTGAGCGTCTGGAAGAGCCTGGGGACTGCCCAGGGCGTGGCCAGGCCCCAGCAGGCCAGGCAGGAGGACCTCAGGGGGAAACTCAGAATCACTCCAGGGGCTTTTTCTGAATTTCCAAGCCTGCATCCCCCTGCCCATCCCCGGCGCCCGTTCCACATGGGAAGAGCACAGAGATCCCCTCCGGCACTGGGCGCTCCAGTGCCGAGGCTGGGTGGGGGCCGCCCCACAGGCAGGGCCCCCGCTCCCACCCTGCCACTCCCTCCGCTTGGGGGCCCGTGCCCCGGCCGCCTGTTCCCATCCTGCCCTCACCTCCCCTCTGGACATTTTTCTCTGTTTTCTCCGAGGCTTGGCAGTGCCACCAGTTATCCAATGACACCTCTTGGCCCCCCTCTCTTGTCCTACAGAGGACAGACCGGGGGTGCCTTGCTCAAGCTGAAGGGCCACTGAGGAGGTGCCTTAAGAAGGGGTTTTAGTGCCAGATAGGGAACTGGGGGAAGTGCCAAATTCGAAGAGCTTCCAGAAGGGCCAGCCTGGCTCTTTGGGTATGTCCCTGGGGAAGCCCGGGAGGCAGCTCAGACAGGGAACAAGCCTGGCCTCTGGGTGAACAGACTAGGACTCACATCTTGACCCTGATGTTTGCTAGCCACGCGACTTGGGATAAATTTTTTTCAACTCTCTTGAACCTCAGTTTACTTATCTGTAAAACGGGAGAACGAGGGTACTGTCACAGAGGCGGATATGCTGGGTAAGCTCCCGAGACACGGAAGCTAGCGTGGCACAGTCCTGGGCACAACCACTCTTTCCCTTGGGAATTTCACCGCACTCACCCTTCCGGGCAGACTCCATGGCTGGCCAATCAGGCCAGGTCTGAGAGAGAAGCTCTGTGGCGCTGGGGACAGACCAGAAAACCACAAGCAGAAACACGAGGCTCAGAGCCGAGCCATGCAAACAACATGCAAAGAGCTACGGAATCCTAACCTGGACTCAGCATGGCCGGCGTCCAGCTCACGGAGGCAGGAGGCAAGTCCTCCTATTCCCCCAGCCTGGGAGGAGCGACGGGCCCTGGGAAACAGCCCTTCGTGAACTTCCCAGCACCACATCACTTCAGTGATGTCCCTGGGAAGGTGCAGCACACGCATCGCCCCAACTCCCACCCGGCCAACCCTCTGCCTGGGTGCCTGGGCCACAGCCTCAGAGAAAGCGAAGAAAAAAGTCCAGAGTAGGGTCTGCATGCATGTATTCTTTCATATATTTAATAACCACCACCTATGTGTCAGGCAGTGGGGACACAGCATTGAGTGAAGCAGGCCAGCTCCTGGGTAGGAGATGGAGACGTTGAAAAATAATTTAACAGACAGGAAGGAGGTCCTCGCAGGTGATCATGCTGTGCAGACAGTGACGGTGCCGGGAGGGGCCGGGTGCGGAGCCCACTGTAGGTTGTCGGAGGTCAGCGAAGCCTCTCAGAAGGGGCGTGTAAGATGAATGAGGCAGTCAGGAGAAAAGTGGGGGGAAGGGAACATTCCAGAAAGAGAAGACAGCATGTGCAAGGGTCTGGGCACCGGAAGAAGCCTGCTGAGGACCGAGACCCTGGTGCACAGACGATCCCTCCAGGCCCCACACTCCCAGTCGCCCCGTCAGCAAGGAACACTGGGAAGGGAGCAGGGTTGTCAGCCAAGGGCGGGGGGGCCTTTATGAGGGCCAGGTATTGACGCTCCCAGGTGGGGTCGCTGCCATCCTGTTCTCAGTTCACTCTCCACGTGGCCAGCAGGCTTCCTCCTGCGAGGAGGGGCAGAGGGGCAGCTGGCAGGCCCGTTGTTGGCTGAGGCAAAGATGGGAGCCCCAGGTGCATATGTGCTGGTGGGGGCGGGGCGTGGATACTAGGAACAGAAGCTGGACTTGAGATGTTTTGTTGATACTTTACCCCGGGGGGCCCCAGCAAGGTGAGGGGAGCTTAGCAGGAGAGGCCTGAAGGTTGGACCACCTTTGGAGGTGGGGACAGGGTGAAGAGCTAGAAAATCTGTAGCGCAGAGAAGTTAAGCCACGGGCCTAAGGTCACACAGCTAGGAGGTGGCAAGGCCAGGACAGGAACCCCAGAGGTCTGGCTCGTGACCACGACCACACACTGCCCTGCCCCTCAGCACCACGAAAAGGAGTTACTGGGACAAAAACAAAACCCATCCATGCTTCCGCCTCACAAGTGAAGCCTCAGTTAACCAGAACATGATCTTGCTTTAAGCGACCCAGACTCCCCGTGTTTGGGAGGCCAAGCAGAGGACCAGGGCTCGCAGAAGCAGCATTTTTGGCTGACCTGGGCGATGAACACGGTGGCCACAGGGCCCAGTGTCTCTAGTCTGAAGCAAGGGCCTTGTCATGGGAACCAGGTATAAAGACGCCCTCGGCCCAGCCCTGCTGCAATGGCTAAGTCCGCTGTGCCATGAGGTCGAAATGAGTCACCCTGCTCTGTTGTGTCCCACTCTAACTGATACCAACACAAGATGCAAATGAACAGTCTCAGCCTACACCCCTTCTGCCTTCCTGCGCCCCCCACCCATGTCCTCAGGGGCCAGCGCACAGAGGCGAAAGGCTGGAAGGCTGCTCGGCACCGGCCATGCCTGCTGGCCCGCGCTTCTCGCCTTCTCCGGGCCCCTGGGACTTTCCCACCTCCTGGCTCAGGGTCCCCCGACAGGAGGGAACCGGGGCTTGCTCCACGGACAGGCACTGGCAGGGTTCCCGGCACGCCAGCCTCCCTGGCATCGCAGGCCACCTAGAGCTTGCCCCTCCCCACGCCCTCCTCGCTCCTCTGGGAGGCAGGGCCGTCCAAGATGCCGGGACCCCACGGGACGCCCACGGAGCTGCCCTGGAGGCTAACCCAGCTCAATCACTGCCCGGTCCTTTGTTACTCTCATTTCCGTCTGATGAGTCAGTCATCAGCCGTTCCTTGTGACTTGTCAGCAGAACTCCAATGGCTTTGGGGCAGAGATGAAGGGGGAAGAAGGTGGCATCACTTTCTCCCCAGGGATGACTGGCTTTTTTCAAAGGCTTGGCTTCCCCTGGCACCCCGCTTCCGTCGCCCCTCCCCCCTGCTAAAAGGAGCGCCTGTTGTGAAATTCCAGCGGCTGCCGGAATGGGAATGCCCCTGCGGAATGGGAATGCCCCGGCATCCGCGGTGGGGCAGGGTTGAAATGTCCAGCAGCGGCGTGGCCTGCACCTCCAAGTTCCTCTTCTGAGCCAGGAAGGATGAGTCTTTACTGGGGGCCCTGAACAGGAAAGGGTCATGTTGATGCAAACCAGGGGTCCTCTTCTCTGACGTGCAGGACTAGTCAGAGGGCCAGGGTGCGCCTGGGCCCAGCTTCCAGCCCCGCGTGGGGCGGGAAGACGGCCTCTTTCCTTGGGGAACTTCTCAAACAGTGGAGGGCCCACATCTCTTAGGGAGGGAAGCAGGGTCCTCTGGGCTCCAGTGGGCACCCCATTCGCCTCCCCTGTAGTTCTGAAATATTTCAGGCCCGTGCTTTGAAGCCGTAGTCCCACAGGTGGGAACAGAGAGACACAGAGGCCTGCCCACCTGCTCTGACCCCTCTGCTTCCGTCCCTGGACCGCTCCTCCCTCTCCCCTTCCTATTGCTCCCTGGGGCTTGGCCTCCCTCCCGGCCCCCACTCCCGTCCTCATGACTGCTGATGGCAGAATCTCTTCTGAGACCTAATTTTAAAAATTCTCATTTCCAATACCGGAAATATATACCAGAAGCTAGAGATTGGGGTGAGAAAGGGGTGGAAAGCGGACGGTAGAGGGCTGGGGGCGAGTGAGGAGGAGTGACACCTCCCTGGGACACCTCTGTGTACTGTTTGGACTCTCGGGACCACAGCAATATTCCATCCCCCCAAATTAAATAAATAACGCAAATGAAACAGGACATGGGGGGAGGGCAAAAATTGGAATGCAAACAATAACGAATTAACCTAAATGTATTATAAAGGATTAACATAACCTCATTGAAAGGGATGGGGCGTGAAAGGAACAAACTGAGTAACCTTGGAAAATAGACTTTTTTTTTTTTTTTTGTGACTTGTCAACAGAATCCCAGTGGCTTTAGCATTTTGACTGGACACTATAAAGCTAAAGAAAAAAAACTATATACAAATATTGTTTCTCATAGGGATGTGGGCTACATAAAACCCCTGAAACTTCTGTATGTGTGTGCTCGGATTAAATGAAGAAGTAAATCTATCGCCGAGAACGAGAGTCAGTTTCTCAACACTCAAAAGTGTTGGAGAAAGAAGTTACAAATAAGGAAAAGGGGGAAGTCTAGAATGAACCAAACTTATGGTGTTAGACTGAAACTGGATAAATCAGTATGAACTCATGGTCTTAATGTATATCCAGATAGATATACAGGGAAGTAAAACATGTGTATATGCTTGGATTAACATGCATACATATATTTTCTAGCTCTGTCTGTTGAGAGAGCCAAGAAGCAACAATGTCGCAATGGCAATGAGCACACCTAGCGCCCAGACATTGGTTTCTAAGTACCATTCTCTAATCAAAGGAACCGGTGCTCCTTAGAGAAATGGCTGATTCTAGGGCTGGGGCAGAAATTGCACAAGATAAACCTGGAGCAGCCTGTTAGGCCAGAAAAGAAGTCAATACTTGCAAAAGGATGAGGAGCGTCAAACAAAATACATAATGAAAGCC